GATAATAAAATTTTTAAAAAAAAGGACATGGTAAATAAGAGAGGTTATAGGACAGAGAGAAAGGAAGAAGAATGTTTTACATGTGTGAAAGGTGAGTTCCAGAAGATGCTGAGAGGTCGGAAGAGGGACCGTATCTGAAAATATGGTGTCCGGGAGTGTTCTAGAACTGATGTGCCACATGGATCCTCAGGTCCAAGAGGGTGAATGAGAAGACTAAACCCCACTTAAACTGCAACATGGTGGATCAAAGAAGAAAGACATTCTTCAAAGCAACAAGAGAAGGGAACAAAATATAGAGGAATGGTAATTAACAGCTATCTGAGATCTCAAGAGCAAACACAGACCGCAGAAGACAAAAAAAAAAAAAGATCTTCCAAGTGCTGAGTGAAAATCAGTCACCCTTGAATTCCATGCCATCTAATATAATTCCAACACTCAGGGCCACATAAAGATTTTCTCGAAGACTGATAGGGTTGGGGCCAGTAGTGGTTAAGGTGCTGGACTCCTGCATGGCCAACCACAGTTCGAGTCCTGGATCTGTCACTTTATCTCTCCCTCTCTTGCTCTCTCTCTCTTTCTCTGTCTCTCTCTGATAAAACTAAAAAATAATAAATAAAATTACATAAATAATTTAAAAAAAAGATTGAGAGGATTATTTAACACTAACAGATGACAATGAAAGAAACAGTAAAAGAGGGAGAGAGGAAGATGCCAGAAGGGATGCCATGCACAGAAACCAGCAGTCGGGCCTAAACCCAAACAAGCCCAATACAGAATAACAGCAATCGCAGTAGGGTGCACTCGATGTTTATTAACTATTCGGGAGTTGCAAGGCCTCCAGCTTATCTCTGTTCTCCCCCTCCCCAGCCTGGCATCTCCCTCATTTCCCACGTCTCCTCCTTTCACGGACTTCCAAGCACTGCAAGGGCTGCAGGTAACCACTGGACTGCGATCACAGTTCACAGAAGGAAGCACAACGACACTCTCTTACTGCTCCAGGAATCAAGGACTGAGAGCTGAGAGACTCCAGCTTAGAACAAAAGCATTCCGAGACTAAAGGTCTTTCCATCTGTACAGTTCAGTTAGGTCGTTCTGCCCTGCAGAGGTTCACTGTGAGCCAGGTGTGGTAGTTTGTGCCTGAATCCCAGCTCCTGGGGAGGTTGAGGCAGGAGGATCTCAAGTTCGAGTCTAGTCTGGGCAACACAGTGAGACCCTGTCTCTAAGAAAAAAAATAAAACAAAATAAAAGTTTATTCTGGCTCTGGCCTTCTCCTAAGGCACCAAGGTTTCCTCCAACCTCTGTAGATGATGGGGAGAACAAAAATACATTTTCCAGACTTGTAAAAACGCTAAAAGGATCATAACATCTTTTGAAAAATAATGCTATGTAAACATCCTGGTATATGCAAGAAATAAGATATAGGGGGGCAGGTGGTGTGGTGGATAAAGCACTGGATTCCCACATGGCCAACCACGGTTCAAGTCCTGGACCTGACAGTCTGAGGGTCATGCCGGGTGTATGAACGAATATGCATGCCCAAAATTCCAGGAGGAGAATGGGGTAAAAGGGATCATGGTGGGGCCATTCTCACAAAGTGAGGTGATTTCTTACTTTCCCTATCTCTATCTATCTCTGTCTCTCTTTGATTTCTTACTTTCCCTCTCTCTATCTATCTTTGTCTCTCTTTAGCAAGTGCACATGTACTATGGCAAAAATTAAAAAAAAAAAAAAAAGCTATCAGGACACATGACCTTTTTTCATAGTAAATGAGCAAAGTTAACTGCAGATACCAAGGGTTAAACTTAAGCAACTCAGCAACTTTTACTAATAAGAGTTTCTGCGTGTCTGCAGCCCTCTGTGCAGGCCATTCCCTGACAGTGCTGCATCCCCGGATTTCAGAGTAAAGGTCCTCACAGGTGTTGTGCTCCTGCCTGTGCCAGTGAAGACAGGCGTCCAGGGTTTCAGAGCCGAGCTCAATAACCACAGAGATCCGGCAGGAGAGGCAGCAGGGAGGCAGCAGTACAGACTGAGAATGCACAGGGTTGGTGGCCTTCACTGAGACTTTTCCCCTCAAGGACCTCTGACTGCCATAGTGCCTCAGTCGGGAGTGGACCACCTGCCCTGCAGCCCTGAGCTCACCTGGCAGGGAGCCTGTGTCCCATGCACATGGAAAGCCTGCCAGCTGAGGGTGTGGCCAGGCTTCTCAGGTTAAAAGAGACCTCCCTCATATTTGCAGAGATGAAACGATAGCAAGATACTATGGAAAATTCCCCTCAAGAGGTGAATCTAACTCTCATCAGTCTAGCATCCAGGAGGGGCAGGGCGGGCATCTGAACAGAGGGAGAGGTTTGCCCAGACAGTAGCATTACCCTCCAAATGTGCCCTACAAAGTCGTGTCTTCCAGCCTAACCCTCCATGCCTCATTTCACCTGATCTGAGGTAGCAGCCTGGGCAGCCTCCAGAGCACCCAGGGGCTCTACAACCAGCACGGGCCTTCCTGACACCCTGGGAACACGGCAATACCCACTGCTACGTGCCATCCCTGACTCTGTGTCTGTGCCTCACCAAGGTAGGTGGAGAGACAGTGCTGGGAAGCATCAAGTACCCACCCCCGCCACAGTCAGATTCTTGACCAAAAACAAACAGATCAAAAATATATCAACTTACTTGTTTTGTAGAAAATAAATAAATAAATAACAGGGCTGAATGGTGGCACAACAGTGAAGCACTGGGCTTTGTGAAGGAATCTATGTGGGAAGATAGATTCTTCTGGAGACCTCCCTGAGTACGACAGGCCTGTGCTCACGCATGATCTGGGCTGGTTGAAGCTGGGGTGGATTGTGGCTTCAGGACTCTGACAGAGGTGCTGGACCTCTCTCTCTCATGCATAAAATAAATAAACTTAAAAAGACAATTTTTTTTTAAATCAGTGGTGATGTTTTTATCAAGATGGTACCAAAGAGGAAGGCAGCCTCTGACCCTTTTACAATCAAAATCTAGGCAAAGACTTTGAAAGCCAAGAAGGCAGTGTGGAAAGGTGTCCACATTCACAAAAACAAAACAAAACAAAACAAACAAACAAAACAAAACAAAACAAAAAAACAAGAAGACCTACATGTCGCCACCTTCCAGCAGCCCAAGACACTAGAAGCAGCCCGAATGTCCTTAGAAGAGTACCCCAAATTTCCTCAGAAGAACACCCCCAGCAGAATCAAGCTTGACCATTAGGCCATAATCTTGTCTCCCCGCCCACTGAGTCAGCCGAGAAGAAGATTGATGACAACACATTGGTGTTCTTTGTGGATGTCCAGGATGGCAAGAACCAGATCAAACAGGCTGTGAAGTTCTACGACATTGAAGTGGCCAAGGTCAACACTCTGAACAGGTCTGACAAGATCAGAAGCCATATGTTCAACTGCTTTGGATGGGATAATCTAAAAGGAGTGTAGGGCCAGCAGGTGGTGTGGAGGTTACGGCAGCTGGATCCCACGTAGCTGTGTGGTTCAAGTCCCAGACATAGCAGCTGGAAAAACACTTCAGGTGTGCGTGCATGCCCAAAATCCTGAGAGGAGGATGGAAAAGGGATTGCTGTATGGTCATCTCCCTTGGGGGTGGTGGTGGTGTGATTTCTCACTTTCCTTTTCTCTCTCTCTCTTTGCCCAGTGAGCATACATGTCCTATAACATAACTAAAATAAAAATTAATTTAATAATAATAAACAATCGTCTAGTTGGCTAATTCTTTTTTAAAGAATTTTTTGCCTTAGGGCACATGCATTCCCCAAAGAGAGATAGATACAATGAGAGGGAAAGTGAGAAATCTCCCCCCTCCGCGGGGGAAGGCCACACTGCAATCCCTTCTCCTTCATGGGATCTTCGGTATACACGCATACATGCCTGGTGTGAGTTTTAAGCTGCCGGGTGTAGGACTCGAACTGCAGTTGGCGATGTGGGAGTCCAGTGACACAACCACTATACATCTGGTGGTCCCAAGTTGGCTAATTGTAAATACATATTTTCTAATTATTAAACCAAAACCAAGCAAAACCCCAGTGGCCTTTCAGGCACCCCCTGAGAGCCAGGCACTGCCTCAGGAGCTTTACTGCAACCAATGGAGATAAAATCATCCTCCTCACTCACAAATGACAGACCAGAGGTGAGAGCGAAGCTGGGGTTCAG